ATTTTATAGTTCTTTATATAAATGTATAATTCATTGTTTAAAAAATTAGAAAAATGTGTTTTTAGTTACCTAATTAATGTTAATTTACAAAGTCACTTTTTAATAGAAAAACAAATTTGTGTGATCCAAGTTTTGACCAACGAGTAACTGTATAATGAATACATTAACCTCAGGGGAAGGATGATTTCGTGATGACATCCTATGTATCTCCAAAAGACCCGTGAGGAAGATCACATTCTTGGCGGTGAGTAGAGGCTACCTAAAGCCCATTCTCACCTGCACCTGCCTATGTGTATCATTTCTGGCTTTGCTAATTTTAGTTCAGAGTAACAGGTTACTAGAATGATTTATATACGTATTCAATAAGGGATGAGAAAACAAGAATGCAGAAATGCCCCACAGAGCAATACCACTTTGGACAATGCCTGTGACAATCTTGACAAAATGAGGGATTATATGTTGCTTACAAAGCCCATTTTGAGCTTTGCCCTTTTTAAGACAATCTGGATGTTTGTTCTCTGAGTTGCATTTGTAAAAAGGGTTTCTATTATATCCTGATTTGGCAACGACAATTATAGCTATCTATTTCTTATCCAAACCTATCTAATACCTGGGACATCTTTAGGCATGTTCATCAGAAATTCAGTGAAAACAAGACTCTTAGTATATGCCATATTCTGTCATAAACCATACCATGGACAGGTGGAGAAAGGTGATTTCTATCAGTATCTACTAAATCAAAATGCCAAAAAACTTAGAGACACCTTAGTGTAGTTATAGCTCTCTAAAATAAATAAATGGCTTATAATACCATATAGTTAATTTTAAAAAACTCCAATGTGATTCCAACATTTTTCTCCAGCTCCTTCTGCCAAGGTCTATATAAAAGTGGCTATTTTAAAATAACTTGTATTGCCCTACTACTTTAAAATGATGGTTTAGAATCAGAATTTATAAGACAGTGAATTTCATGTGTTACCTATGATTTATATTTCTGCTCCGCATTAAGTGTGTAAATAACAATTACCATTTCACATTCATTTGGGTGACTACTGATGACTTCAGATTCCTGCCCCAAAATAGAGAATTAGAATGGGCTCCTGTTCCTTCTCCAAAATTGACCATGGGAAAACTAGAGGCAAAAATGTACATTCAAGGAAGTAACAAAGAAAAAAGGAAAGGAAGGAGGAAGAGAGAGGAGGAGGAGGAAGGGAAAGGAGAGGAAGAAGAAGAAGTAGGAGGAGGAAGAGGAGGAGGGAGAGCAGGGAAGGGAGGGGGAGGAGGGG